AAAAACATCCCTTCATCGACCAGTACTATCCACCAGCTCCTCTTGTGCCTAAGAATGAATTTAAAGATATACAGTCATGGAAAGAATTATTAGACCACCCTTGTTTTCTTCAATTTCTTGTTCATTGTAATGCCTGGTACAACTAAAAGTACATTTGTTTGGACAAATTTAATGATAGCAAAAGTAGTTCAGAAGAGTTTAATGTAAGAGCTGATATCTAGCCATTTTCCACGGTTTTCTTGATAATAACCAAAACCACTTAAGTTCTTACATCAATAACTATGGCATTGTACTGCCAAAACAGTGCTTTTAGGCATTCCATGTTTTCTTTTCTGTCTGTTTTAGTCACATGATACACACAGGAGTTAGTACTTGATTGCATAACCATTGTTTTTGATGACTGCAGCATGTGTCTTGGCATGCTCTCCATCAGCTTCTGACATTGTTCTGTTGTCACAGCAGTCCATTCCTGTTGCACAAATTCAAACAAATTTGCTTTGTTTTGGGCTTGTGGTTCTCCTTTTTTCTTTTGATGATTTTCCACAGGTTTTCAGTTGGATTTAGATCTGGTGATTGAGTAGGCCAAGGCATGGTTGGAATGTTCTGGTTCTCCATCCAGGCTTTAACTGACCTTGCCTTGTGGCAAGGGGCACTGTCTTGTTGGAAAATCAGTCATTTTTCCAGCTGATGGAAGAAGACTGTTTTCAAGAGTAGCCCTGTACATGACCTGGTTCATTTGTCCTTCACACAATTGCATTTGCACATATCCACCCATACTGAAACAACCCCAGATCGTCACTGATCCACCCCCATGTTTTACTGTCGGGGCAAGACAGTCTGGTTTGTAGGCTTCTCCAGGCTTCCTCCTCACCAGTAAGTTGGCTGAAGAGAACCTTAGCCCAACAACAACAGTCCAATCCTTGTGATCCCCAGCAAAGTGTAACTTTCTTCTGCCTTTTGTTGATGAAGGGCTTCTTCTGTGTCCTGTGTGAATTCAGACCAGCTTCAAGAAGTTGGTTTAAAACTGTCCTTGCTGAACAAATCACATTTCTCCACAGTGCTCACTCATTTTAAGCTCCCTGGAGGTCTGACGACGATTCCTGACACAGGAACGGATGAGTGTCTGGTCATCTTGTGGGGTAGAAAGACGTTTCCTGCCACGACCAGCTAGCAATTTGGTAGTACCATGTTGGACTTGTTTTTTCTTGGTGTAATGAATGGCTGTCTTGGAGATCTTCCATTTTTTCGCTACCTGTCTCTCACTCATGCTTGTTTCCAGCAGTGTCAAGATGGCTGCCTTTGTGGCTTCACATAATTCTTTGTTTTAAGCATTATGTGAGCGCTGACAGCTTCTGAGTTGTGCTACGGCTTGAATGTAAGCAGGAAACCACTCTAGGCCTTTGCATGTGCAGTGCTGCTTATGACATGAAATGGCCTCTTATAT